GATGGGGTGTTACTCTGGGCTGGTGGTAGGGCCTGTGTCCCACTTGGGGGAAGCCCGAGTGTTGTGGGTGCCAGGTCCATGGTGCCGTTTATTGTTAAATGGCTTGTTGCTAGGGAGAGGAAGCTGGGCATTGCTATGTGACATCATTACCTGGAGCCCACTGCCACCGTTCCTGGGCTGGGCTGGGCTGTGGGCTGCATTTTGTACCATGGGGTCTTGGCAGCGGCAGCTGCGATTTAGTGGGCTGCTCCTAAGTGATGACAGGGCCTGTGTCCCACTTGGGGGAAGCTAAGTATTGCTTTGTGGGTGCCAGGTCTGTGGTGCCGTTTCTCTGTAAATGGCCAGTGTGCGTCACAGCAGCTCCTGCATTGAGCACCTGCCCCCTGGTGGTCAGTGTACATCATAGTGACCAGTCAGACATTCAGCATGTTAGCCTTTTATTAGGAGATATATAAATTGTTGAGTTTTATTTGGGAGTACATTTGTACTTAGATTAGCTTAATCCTTAGAGGTTAGGTTTTAAGCCATACACACACACACACACACACCACACACCACACTCACACACTAGAGGCCGTGTACACTAAATTTGTGCACTGAGAGGGGTCTTTCAGCCTGGCCTGTGCCCTTTCGCAGCCTGGGAGCCCTCGGGATGGATGTCCAATTGCCACGGGCAGTGGGCCTAAGCTGTAAGTCAGACATCCTTAGTGCTGCTGCGGAGGTGTGAGAGGCTCCCACTACCGCTGCTGTGCTCACCAGCCATGAGTCCAGCTTCTGGCTGAGAGGACCTCCCCCTGTGGGAACACACTGACCACCAAGGGGCAGCTCCTGGATTGAGTGCCTGCCCCCTGATGGTCAATGTGCATCATAGCAACCCATCCTCTCCCCCTTTGGTTGATTTGCATATCAGCCTTTTATTATATAGGAATAGAAGCCTGGTGATCAGTGGGGTCCCTTGGCCTGGCCTGTGGGGATCAGGCTGAAACCAGCTCTCCTACATCCCCCGAGGGGTCCCAGATTGCGAGATAGTGGTTCTCGAGTGATTTTTTTCCCCAACTCGGGCTCCCTCCTCTCTCCCTGAGTCTGGGGTGCAGGTGAAGCCGATTCTGGGCCAACAGTGCCCCAGTAGCAACCTACCCCATGGTCGATTCCGCAAGGAATAGGGCTTCCTCCTCTACTGGTTGGAGCATCTGCCCCCTGTTGGTCATTGCACATCACAGCTACCAGTCGGGCCGTTGCTTAGGTTTTTATACTAGTATAGATATATTTTAGAGAGGAAGGGACAGGGAGAGATATAGAAACATAAATAATGACAGAGAATCATTGATTGGCTGCCTCCTTCACACCCCACAATGCGGATCAAGGCTGCAACCCAGGTGTGTGCCCTGATGGGGAATCGAACCATGATCTCCTGGTTCAGAAGTTGATATTCAACCACTGAGCCATGCTGGCCCAGCGGTTTTAAGCTTTGTTAGTGCTGGTTCAGACATCCTATTGTGTAAAACTTATTCATATACATCCTATAAGGCATTAATTACCTTCTGGTTAATGGAAGCAGGAGCTCTGGGGATTGTTCTCCTTTTTTCTTTTTTTTTCTACCCTCACCTGAGGGCATTTCTTCCATTGATTTTTAGAGAGAATGGAAGGGAGAGAGGAGGCAGAGAAGCATTTATGTGAGAGAGAGAAACATAGATTTGTTGCGTCCCACCTCCAATCAGGGCTGCAGATCAAACCTGCAAACAGGGTATGCCCTCTTGACCAGGAATTGAACCCAAAATTTCCCTTCAGTCCCTGGGCCGACATACTAACTACTGAGCCAATGGACCAAGGCCTGGCTGCTACTTTTCAGAGGCTTTTTTTTCTCCAGAGTTAGTCGTTTTTTTCATATGCACGCATAGGTCATTACTCAGCGGAAACCTTAACTAGAATCTCTTGATCTCTGGAACTCTTTGCCCCTGCAGCTTCCTTCTCTTCATTAGTTCTGCAAATTCTAGCTGCCTTGGTGTCTCCCATAACTCTGAACTCTTTTAATTCAGTGAGACCATTGGGCTCTGAATGGGTCCCACCTTTCCCTTCCCTGTTTCATTCAGCCCCTTAACTGCAGGCAATAGGGTTACTTCACTTTTTTTTTTTTTTTTTTTTCTCTTGAAGATCTCTGCCCTGAGATAATGTCTAGTGTCTGAAAGTTATTGTTCCACATATTTTGTCTAGTTTTCTGCTTTTTTAAGGTAGAAGGGTAAATGCAGTCTCTGTTTTGTTCTTGTTTTGTTTCTTATCTTGGAAGGCATCCCTGCCTTATGGATGATGTCATTTTGGTTTTGTAAATATTTGTCTTTTTTGGCTTTTTGAATATTTGTAGGACTTTTGGAAAAACCAGTGTATAAACTTTAATAAATTTAGGCAGCTGGAGTGCATGATCTCTCTCTTGCTTGTTCCTTTTTACATACTGTGCTCCACATACATACTCACATCTTCTTTCATCTCTTGCGCATCATGTTCATTCCAAATATGAGAAGTATCAAGACAGTCTATTACTGAACATTTTTACTTAATACAAGATAGTGGTGACAAATGTTAGCTGTCATGTTTACCTTTAAGAAAATAGAGCGTTTTTATTTCTTTTTCTGTTTGTTTACTAAAAGATAATGAATTCTTCATTATTTTTCAACAGAATATCTATTCCTGTATTGGTTAAAGCATAATATAGTTGATATTGCTTGAAACTTTGAGCCATGAAATATTTGAAGTTATCCTAAGAGAGAAACAAAACAATATTTCCCTCTGTATTAAAATCTATAGTATTCCAAAGTTATTTTTTATTCACCTGGTAAATTTACAGAATAAGTATTAAATTTTGTTTTTAATTAAGGTATTTAGCATATATAGTAATAATTACCTTTTTATATAGTTAAGTTATACTGTTGAAAAATGCCATACCCGATTTTAAATTTGTAACTTTATCTTTTGATGAAACTAGCATATTTAAAGAATTATTTAAACTTATTTAAAAAGCACATTTTCTTTAAGAAACAATGGAAAATTCAACTATTATACATTGACTTCAGAGTTGCCATGAATACATTAATAGTAAGGCAAATACTGTTTTAAAGTCGATTAATACTATAAAACACATTAAAACAGGGTTAATGTTGTTTTGAGAATGCAAAGTAAAACAGTGTTGTTCTCATTTTGTGACAGTCATGAAATTTTAAATTAGAGCTGAATGTGTGTCACTTAACTATTCTTAGACATCCAATTTATTTGATATATTATAATTTTTCTTTATGAATAACCTAATTATCCTTACTAGATGTTAGGGGTTACATTTTATAGCAGTAATTATACTTACTTATGGCTTAAAAAAAAACGCCTTTTTTTAAAATTTTGTATTTTATTGATTTTTTTACAGAGAGGAAGAGAGAGAGCGAGCTAGAAACATCAGTGAGAGAAACACCAACCAGCTGCCTCCTGCACACCCCCCACTGGGAATGTGCCCGCAACCAATGTACATGCCCTTGACCGGAATCAAACCTGGGACCTTTTAGTACGCAGACCGAAGCTCTATCCACTGAGCCAAACCGGTTTCTGCTCCTTTGTTATTTTTGAGAAAGAAATACTTAATACCTGTGGTACATTTAAATTTGGTAATGGGCTGTTCGTTACATTTTTGCCTTAGAGTCAAGCATCTTAAAATATTTCACCAAACATATACAATGTAAGATAGTAAAAATTAAGTAAAAGTATAGCATTCACTAACTCTAATCAAACATAAAACAAGACGAAATATAGGTTTTCATTATGTGGATTCTTTTTAAAACTTTAATGTTAATTCTTAATGATTTGTTTCCCTTGGAAATGTTTCTGCCTGTCTTATTATTATTAGATTGCTTGTTGGAGGTAATCCATATGTATGTGTATGTATGTTTGGTTTTAATAAAATAGATTCATACTTTTTATGAATTTAAAATAGATGTTTCTCTTATCCTCTCCCAAAGTATATTTCTTATGGTAAATAATTGCTCTAAATTTGAATGTATTTTTAATGGTTAGCAACTATTATTAGATCATTAGATACACTTACTACTTTCCTAAGGTAAACATTTCATTAAAACTTTGGTGAGAGATATTTGTTTTTAAAATCTGTGCTTCCAAAATTTTTGTATACACCATTTTTGAGTTTTTATCTCTTTCAGTTTACATTTTTTAAGTTAACATCTCTAGCGACTATCACCTCTGCTACACTGAATTTTTTGTACCTGATGTTCACAGTGCCTAGTCATTTTGGACTTACTTATCTTTATTGAGGTTAAGACATGAGCCCCATTATTGTTCTTCCCTATTGTAATAAAGCAAATTCTATTAGAATGTATATGAAATTAGAGGATTGAAGGACAAAGGCTTCAGAAAGCTGACATGTTACTACTCTTCATTGAAGTAAATTTTAATGAGTATTTGGGTTTCATTTACTAGTCATAAGAACATATGATATATTTCCTTATATGGCATAGGAATAAACATCATAAACTGAATGAATATTATATAAAGAAGTATTTGGAAGAGAGATATTTTAAGTTAAATGACTAAATCTGAATTAATTGTATATTTCTGAGACATAGAAGAACATTTAAAAGAAAAATGTCAGCTGAGGGCTGAACATTTTCATCAACTCCATTTTTATTTATGTTTCTATCTTGTATATGAGGACTGGCAGACAGTTTTAACTGTAGAGAGAAATGGGAAGGAAGAGTTTTTCATATTTAATAATTTCTATCTCAAAGCATGTCTGCCAGTCTAGCTCTCCCCAAATAGTTAAGAATATTTTAAATGTTCTTTTTGTTTTGTTTTCTATATATAATATTGGATATTTTTGTTACTGTTCATATATTTACATGTTAGTAATTTTGATGGCTTTTGGATAATTCCACTCTAGAGGGAGAACTGGTGGGCGGTCCTTCCTGTGACACGACCCTTGAGTGACAGTTCTGTTTGATTGCCTCCAGTACTGTGAGGAAAGGACACGACTCTATGGTGAGGACTGATGGACATACATTATCTGAGAAAAGAAACTACCAGGTAAGATTTATTTCCCTTTTTTTTTATTGGTCAGATAGCTACATTGAACTGATTAATATGTTGTATTTAACTAGAATCAGCATATTGGTTGGATATACCTCAATTTGAAAAATGTGGGTTATAATTTAAAGTACATATATAATGGGTTTGACAGTTTAGTTGGGGACATTTTTCAAAATAAAATATGCTTCTAATAAATGTATATACTTTTAATGTCAACACAAATTTTCTGGTGTGTGTAAATATGTCAAATCTTATTTTATTTGATACATAATTTATAACTTTATGGCTGGATTCAGAGATTGCTTTATATATATATATATATATATATATATATATATATATATATATATATATATATATATACTGGAAGACTAAACTGAAGTCTTATGCTATATTCAGGGTAATGGAGAATTACAGAAATGTGGGCAAAATTGTTTAGAATATAGAAGAAATATAAATGAAATTCCCAAGATGCTCAGAGACCAAAATTCTACAGAACTTGTGATTTACTTCTGTCCTTATAATGCTAGAGTCCTGTTTCTCATTTATTAAGTTAGTTAATATCCATCCTCTATGTAATCTGTAAGGATGCTAAAAGAATGGTTAAAGTGTAATATTATTGTTTTCTTTTTATTCTGTTTTATTTTTCTCTATCACCATTTAGGTAACCTATATCCTTTTCCACCTACCCCTGTCCATAATCACCACACTGTTGTTCCTGTTCATGAGTTCTTTCTCTTTTTGTTTCTTTTTAACTCACATTCCTACCCCTCAACCTACTGTTTTCTTTTTCAGCTTTTAAATGAAGGTGAATTTTAAAGTTGGTGCTATTAAATAGTGATTAAAATATAACATTTTAATTTAATATTTTCAAATAAAATCTGCTTTATTCATTTAGTAATAATTCATTAAGTTATTTAATGATTCGGAATACAGAATAATTTAAAGTTCAGAGCTTTAGGCTTTCTGTACAGATACATATCCAACCTCCTTCTCTCCCTTCCATTCACCAGTTTCATTTCCTCTAGGCTATGACAGAATTAGTGTGATAGTGACAGCATTGGTTAATCTGCTAACCATTAGTTTTAACTAAAGTTTTTCTTCCCTCAACTTGGTAAAAGGAAGAATGGAGAAAATTTGTATATGGGTATTCATGTAAAATTAGCAGAGAGTCTATGATTTGATTATAAGACTTGCTGGTTTGGGCACTACCCCTAATAAAAAAAAGTGTCACACTGACTGGGTGGCTAAGTTGGTTCAAACTACCCTGTTTCCCCGAAAATAAGACAGTGTCTTATTTTAATTTTTGCTCCCAAAGATGCATTAGGTCTATTTTCGGGGGATGTCTTATTTTTCCATGAAGAAGAATACAGTACATATTTATTGTTAAATGAAAATAAAGGAAATTTGTTACCTGTATATGGTACGGTAGTACGGTAGTTGTCAACACAAACCAGACAAACTGTGAATCCTACAGTATCAAGAATTTACGCATTTATTCAATGACAATCATGTCATCGTCTTCTGGAACATCATCATAACAATCCAATTCCTGAATTTCCTGGTGAATTTCTTGTGACTCCATTTCTTTCAGAATCAGTGGTCCAAATCTCTCATGGTTAGCCTAGGGAGGGCCTTATTTTCAGGAGGATGCCTTATATTTTACTCAGAAGGAAACCTGTAAGTAGGTCTTATTTTCGGAGGATGTCTTATTTTCGGGGAAACACGGTATACCCAAAAAGGTTGCAGTATAATTCCTGGTCAGGTTACATACCTAGGTTTCGGGTTTGATCTCTGGTTAGGAGGCAACCAATCCATGTATCTGTCTCTGTTTCTGTTTCTGTTTCTGTTTCTGTCTCTCTTTCTCTTTCTCCCTTGCTCCCTTTTCCCTCTCTCTCTAAAATTAATAATAATAGAAAAAGGAAACATATCCTTAGGTAAGGATTTTAAAAAAGCACACAAGACAGTGTCATATTTAACCTTTCTAGAGTTTCTCCTAACTTGATGTCTGAAGCTTCTTGCCAGATGTTTATGATTTTAATAAGCCAGAATAAGGCATGCCTGTGATAAATCATTTCTTGTAACCTTTTCTATTCTGAATTGTTCTCATAGACTTGACTAACATGGCCATTGCTTATCCTCTTATATAATAAAGAAGTAATATGCAAATTGACCATCACTCTCAACACACAAGATGACTGCCCCCATGTGGTCAAAGATGGTTGCCACAAGATGGCCATCAGGGGAGGGTAGTTAGGGATGACCAGGCCTACAGGGAAGGGCAGTTGGGGGCAACCAGGCTGCAAGGGGAGGCAATTGGGGTTAACCAGGCCTACAGGTTAGAGGTGACTGGGCCAGCAAGGGATGGCAGTTGGGGGCAATCGGGCTGACAGGGGAGCAGTTAGGCATCAATCAGGTTGGGAGGGGAGTGGTTAGGGTATGATCAGGTTGGCAGGCAGAGCGGTTAGGGGCAAGCAGGCAGGCAGGCAGACTGGCAGGTGAGTGGTTGGGAGCCAACAGTCCTGGATTGTGAGAGGGATGTCCCAGATTAGAGAGGATGCAGGCTGGGCTGAGGGACACACACACACCCACCCACCCCCATGCACAAATTTTGTGCACGGGGCCTCTAGTAATTTATGTTTGCTGTAGCTCCTGTCTCACCACCACTTCCAACTACCTTGACTCAATTGGTCACACCACTTGGGCTTTTGAATCTTTGATAGGTTCTGGTAAATTATTTTAAGAATATGATTCTAGGTTATGTGGCTTTTCGTTATTCATAATTGAGCTTGAAAAGAACTGTGTATCATTACACAGTATGGGTAATTCATGAATCACATTAATATAGAATTCCAAAATATTCACATAAGAAGGAAATAAGATGAGGTTATAATTTACACATGAAGTTATTTCCTAATTCCTAATCATCCTACTCTAAAAATAGTTTATATCTTCAGTCACATTATTTACAAATAATCCAGGTTTTTAATATTTTACTGGCTGAAAGTATTTTTCATTTTCTTATTTATTAGAGGCCCGATGCATGAAATTCTTGCAGGGTGGATGAAGGGGTCCCTTGGTCTGGCTGGCAATCAGGGCCTGCCAGCCAGGGAAGGGACCATGGCAGTTTGGCTGTGGGAATGCACTGACCACCAGGGACAACTCGTGAATTGAGCATCTTCTCCTTGGTGGTCAGTGCACGTCATAGCTACCTGTAGATCTGTCATTTGGTTGTTCAGTTGTAACAGCTGCTTAGGCTTTTATATAGATAGATTTATTAAATCTATATTGTTGAAAATATTACATATGTCTACTTTTTTACCCCATTGACCTCTTCTAGCCTGCCTCCATTTCTCCCCCTCCCCCCCAGGTCTTCCTCACCCTATCTTTTGTGTCCATGAGTTATGCATGTACTGCCTTGTTTCCCCTAAAATAAGACAGTGTCTTATGTTAATTTTTTCTCCCAAAGTTGCGCTAGGTCTTATTTTCAGGGGATGTCTTTATCTTTCCATGCACTAGGTCTTCTTTTTGGAGGATGTCTTATTTTCGGGGAAACACGGTAGTATGCATATAAATTCTTTGGTTAATCTCTTCCCATCCACCCATCCTTCCCCACCTTCCCTTTGAGATTTCACAGTCGGTTTCATGTCTCTGGATCTATTTTGTTCACCAGTTTATTTTGTTAGATTCCACATATGAGTGAGATCATATGATAATTGTCTTTCTCTTACTGGTTTATTTTGCTCAACATAATACTCTACAGGTCCCTCCATGCTGTCTCAAAGAGTAAGAGATTCTTCTTTTTTAATGCTGTATAGAATTCCATGCTATAAATGTATCACAACTTTTTATCCACTTATCTAATGATGGGCACTAGGGCTGTTTCCAGATCTTAGCTATTGTAAATATGTTGCTATGAATATAGAGGTGCATACATTCTTTCTGATTGGGGTTTTGGGTATCTTAGAATATATTCCTAGAAGTAAAATCACTGGGTCAAATTGCATTTCCATATTTAATTTTTTTTGAGAATATTCCATACTGTTTTCCATAAGGGTTGCACCAGTATGAATTCTCATCAGCAGTGTACTAAGGTTCCCTTTTCTCCACATCCTCGCCAGCATGTATCATTTGTTGATTTGTTGATGTCTTATTTTCGGGGAAACAAGGTAGTATGCATATAAATTCTTTGGTTAATCTCTTCCCATCCACCCACCCTTCCTCACCTTCCCTTTGAGATTTCACAGTCGGGAGCTATTCTGACAGTTGTGAGATGATACTTCATTATCATTTTAATTTGTATTTCTCTGATGATCAGTGACTGAGCATATTTTCATACGTTTCTTGGACATATATATGTCTGCTTTGGAGAAATGTCTAGTTAGGTCCTTTGCCCATTTATAAATTTTATTTGACTTCCTTTTTAGTTCTCCGAGTTTCTTATATATATTATCAGAAGTATCATTGCCAGATATGTTCTCCCATATCATGGGCTTCCTTTTCATTTTGTTAATGGTATCTTTTGGTGTGCAGAAGCTTTTTATTTTTATGTAGTCCCATTTATTTACTTTTCCCTTACTCCTTTGCCCTAGGAAATATATCTATAAACATTGCTGTAAGAGATTTCTTAGATTTTTCTGCCTATGGTTTCTACTAGGATTTTTATGGTTTTATGTCCTATATTTAAATCCTTTATCCACTTTGAGTTTATTCTTGTGTATGGTATAAGTTGGTGGTCTAGTTTCATTGTTTTGCAAGTATCTGTTCAATTTTCCCAATACCATTTATTGAAGAGACTGTCTTTATTCCATTGTATATTCTTGCCTCCTTTGTCAAATATTAATTTAGGGTAATGGCTGGGGTCAATTTTTGGGTTCTCTGTTCTATTCCATTGATCTGTGTGCCTGTTCTTGTGCCAGTGCCAGGTTCTTTTAATTACCATGGCTTTGTATCTGGTATTGTGATCCCTCCAACTTTGATTTTCTTTCTCAAGATTG